ATAGATAGATAGATAAATAATAAATAAATAAATAAATAAACCTCAATGGAAGTCCAGTATGTAAGCCAGAGACAGGCTGCCGTGTTGAAGTTGGAGGCCTCAGCTGCCCCAGTGCCAAGGTACCGCCCTCCTTTGAAATCCTTGCTCTGACTCCAGCCCCTTAAGGCACAGATGTGGAAACTGAGGCCTCGAAAATGTAAGCACCATGTCCAAGGTCAGAGAGGGAGCTGGGGGCAAAGGCAGGTCTAGAATCCAGTCTCTGAATCCAAGTTCTGGGAAGTGCCTCCATGAGAGATGTGTCAGAAACTGCTCCCCACAGGAGGGGAGAGATGCGCTCTGATTCCGATTATGACTTGGTGAGATGTCTGTCAGATCCTATAAGATGTGAAGGATTCTGAAGGTTCAGGGAGGCTGTAAACTCTCTTACCTCCACTGCCTCAATCCATGTTAGCAAAATCTCCATGGTTTTCAGGGGATCAAACCTCACTGAAAGAATCCTGCCAACAGGTAAGAGAGATAAGAGGAAGGTGGAAGGCCCAGGCGTAGGTTTCTGGGATTTTACTTCAGGTTGCTAAGCCTCAGAACACCACCACTGAACCATCCCAGCGAGAAGTGCTTCGAGAGCCTATAGAAGCCAGGTCTCTTTTCTCTTCTATTCTCTTCTAAGGCTCCCGTTTCAGCTTGTGCTGATATCATGAGTCTGGCAATGAGGGCCAAAGATGGTCAATGAGACCCCTTCTGGAACATTCTTGCCCCAAGTCTAACTAGAAACTAGTTTCTAGAAACTAGAAGCTTAGAAATTCGGCTGAGTGGGGTGGGAACTAGCACAGTATAGAAAGAAAGATTCCACGGGAAGAAAAAAGGAAACATGTACTTATATTTAGTTAATTTGTGCCAGACAATGCCAGCCCTTTGTCTAAAGTTATTAGGTTTAATCCAAATGGCAACCTGTGAAGCAGGTACTATTGCCCTTATTTCCAAAGGGGAAACTGAGGTTTGCAGAGCAATGGTGACTTGCACAGATCACAGAGTGTGCGGTGAGGGAAGAAGAGGCTCTGCTTTTAACAAGTGAACATCCTGATGAGAAAAAAAGACTGAACAAAAGAGAGAAAACTTCATTAGCACCAAGGCACTGGTGGGGCTGCACCTGGCCCTGGGGGCTGGTCTGAAAGTCGTCCTGACCCTATTACAGGATGGGAAACCTTCAGTGCCTGCTCAGAGCGCCCCCTGCTAGCAGCTGGAGGTACTGCAGCAAGGAGCGGAGGCTGGAGGAGGACGCCCACCAGCTCTGTTCCCACGCAACCCACCAAAAGGAGAAAATCTCCAGCCAGGCGGTTCTGCTGACTCTGGGCTGTTCGGTCCCCACCTGGGGCTCTGGGTCACACTTTGGGCCCTGCTCTTTACAGAAGACAACCAGAGGAGGGGATGCAGGACAAGGAGCCCTCTAGAAACCACACCCTGGGAGAAACCTCTGAAGAAAGGAGGAGTGTTCAGGGGGAGGGGAGGTGCTGAACTCTGGAGGAGGATGCCCAGCAGAACTCCGGGCAGCAGCGGGCACAGCGAGGCCCACAGACAGGTAATCCAGAAGGGCAGATTTTAATTCAATATGAAACCTTCCCAACAGGTGACGGAAGCCAAAATGGTCTGCTGTGAAGAATGGCAAGAGCGCCCTCTGTGGAAGGGGCTGGATGGACAATTTGCAGGGATGCTGATGAAGGGCGACTGTCGCCCTCCATCCCTGCCCCCCCGGGAGTATGGGCACCTGTCCTTTGCTCTAGGAGCATCTCTGTGCTCCAGGCCATCACTATTTCCCTAACCTTGGGAAGCTACTGACTCCTGTGCTGGTAGTTTTTAGTTTTACACTGAAGAAAAATTCAGAGTAGAACTGTGACTTCTGTTTTACCAGTTATGTAGCTGACTCATGTCTTGTACAGTTTCAGCACATTTTCAGCAGCTAGAAAATTTTTCCATGGGAACTGAAAAAGGGAGATGCCCTCATACATACTATGCATAAAGGGGAGGGTCAGATCTCGGGGAGAAGGACGTTCCACCCAGATGGTAGGTCAGTACCTTCTAATCCTGACAGCCTCTGAGCTGTTGGCACAGAGGGAGATGCAGCCCTCCATCCTTGGGCCCGGATTCTAGGTCTAGCAGGACACAGCAAGTCCCAAGAGCCCTCCACTGGCTGCAGTCCTGGGTGCAGAAGTAATGCCTTCCTCATTAGAACACTTGCCTGGCCAACATCTCTTTAACCCCAAGGAAGCTCCCTGGAGCAAGATGCCTGCTTTCGCCTGCCTGTCAAGAGGAGCTTAGAGAAGATGAAGATGGAGGATGAATGCGGGGCCATCCCCTACATAGCCACTGTTAGACCTCACTCAGGCTTCTGAACAGCAAAAAGACCCCAGGGCAGAAGGCATTTAGGTGCCATGACCCCTGATCTCAAGTTTAGATGTCAGAACCTGCCTCTGAAGTGAGGGCCCAAGAGAAGGAGATCGTTTCAGCTTCCCCTTTGAAGCCAGAGCCAGAGTCAAACTGTCCTGTCTTTCCAGAATATGATCTCAGTCCTGATTCCCGAGAAACAATGGATGAGGGAGGGGCCGGCCCTTTATGGATCCCTGGGATGGGGACAATCATTTGTCACAGCATGGGGACACAAGGGCTACCCACTGCTCCCACCTGCATGGCAGAGCCTGGTCCACCCCCCTCACCCCAGAGAAAGGGGTTTCTTGAGACCATTAGGGTGGCTGTGTGTGGGCGGGGAAGTGCCGACAGTAACCTCAGGAGACGCTGCGAGGCTTTTCTGAGTGAACACTTCCCAGCCTGTGGCCGTCCCAGGCTCTGGTGCCAAGTCCTGCGGAGAGGTGTCCTGGGTCCTCCGGGACTGCAGGGGAGGCCCAGGGCCAGAGGAAAGGGAAGAGGGAGGAAGGGAAGGAGAGACAGAGACAGGAAGAAAGGGAGAGAGAGGAAGCAGGAGAGACACACACACAGAGCCTGTAAATAGCCCAGCTTTGTAAAACCCACACCCTTAGAGTTTGTGGCTTAGGTCAGGCCAGTGGGGCGAGAGAGAGAAGAGCTGCCCCTTGTGGCCCTTTAAGGGAGGGAGGCCCACGGTCAGCTGCCAGCCAGCACCATGCCTTTGGACCCTTTGCTCCCTGCCCTCACTCAAGAGGGATGCGGAAACATACCACTCTCCTTCAAGAGGCTCCCAATCAAGAGGCCGAGGAGCCATACCATCCAGACTCCGATTCCAAGTCTGCCCTGGGTGTCTTTGGTTTAGGCAATGGTTCAATCCTGCAGTTTGGCTCTTAGCCCTTCAAAAAGTCCTCTTTGAAATGAAAGCCTGGGTTTGGCAATGGGAACTTTTCTTTAAAGTTTGGAGTCCCAGGCGCCTGGGTGGATCAGTCGGTTAGGTGTCTGCCTTAGGCTCAGGTCATGATCCCAGGGTCCTGAGATCGAGCCCCACATCAGGCTCCTGGCTCAGCGGGGAGCCCGCTTCTCCCTCTCCCTCTGCCTCTCCCCCTGCTCATGCTCTCTCTCTCTCTCTCTGTATCTCAAGTAAATAAATAAAATATTTAAAAAAATAAAGTTTGGAGTCCCTATTTTAAGTTCCCACTGTTTTCCCCTTGGCCCAGATGAGGCCCAACAATATATGAGGAAGCCACTAGGACCTCTGATGACACAGCCCTGCAGGACAGCCCCCAAAAAGTCCAATCAGGGATTCCAGTCACGATAGGCAATGGCCCCATGACTGTACAGCACTTTCTAGTTTATATAAAGTGCTTTTATACCCATTATTTCACTCAGCCTTCTCAGCAACCCCATGGAATGGCAATTCTGGTCCCCCTTTAGATGGGCTGACTAGGCAGCAAGGCTCAGAGAGGTGATATCACTCACCCAAGAACCCAGTCCAGGCCTTGTCTACAGCTTCTCCCCATCTCCCAAATCTTCAAGGGCCTCTAAATGCCAGTGGGGCCTGGAACCCAGTTAAATGGTCCATAGCTCCAAGGTGAGCTCCTGGACCAGAATTCTTTCCAGCAGTGGACTACACTTCTTGGGGCATCAGTGAGGGGCAAGGGTTGGAACAGACCCACCTCTGAATAAGACCCATCTTCTAGCAGTTCCAGCTATGACCAGCAGGTGGGGCACATTTCCAAGCCACGCTGCTCTGAGCACCCGGACGCTCCGCAGCCAGCTCCCCGGGGTTCATCCTGCCCTGCTCTGCTGGAGTCCCACCCTTTCAAAGCCTCTGCATTCCTCCTCAGCCACTGCCAGGCCACTCTGGTCAAGACTCTCAGGGCCAGAGGAGTGGGGCCTGTACCTGGATCACTAGACCAGCCCCCATGGCCCAGCCCAGGGTACCAGGGGTGACCACAGAGGCTCTCAGTAGCTGCAGATTTGCCCTCCTTCCATAGCACTGGACTTAAAGGCCCTCAAAGCATCCCGCATTTCGTGAATCACCAGCCAGGAAACTACCACAGCATCCTCACTGGACGAGGCCCTGTTATCCGGCATGTCGAGGCCGTGGGGAGAACTGATTCAATCAAATGTTCACTTAGTAGGTTACGACTGCATCACCAAATTTCAAAGCATGGGAGGACAGTACATACACAGTTGACTCTATCCTGGTCTTCCCATGATTTGGTCTTGCTCCCAGCAGCTGTGATTTAACAGCAAATACAATGGCCAGGACACAAGAAAAGCAGGTTCTGGCCCTTCTTTTATCAGCTATGACACTGAACAAGTATGTTCCCATTCTGGGCCTCAGTGCCTCATCTGTAAAGTGATGAGCTTAAGTCAAGTAGGTTCTGAGGGTCCTTCCAACTTTAAAAGGGGTTCTGGGGGGGCACCTGGGTGACTCAGTTGGTTGAGCATCTGACTCATGATTTTGGCTCAGGTCATGATCTCAGGATCGTGGGATCGAGTCCCACATCAAGCTCCCTGCTCAGCGTCGAGTCTGCTTGTCCCTCTCCCTTTGCTCCTCCCCTCGCTCATGCTCTCTCTCTCTCTCTCCTTCTCTCTCAAATAAATAAAATCTTTAAAAAAGAAAAAAATGGTTCTGATTTGAAAATAACCTTCTGTATGAATCCCAGGACTCTCAAAATGAAACAATAATTAACTCCTATTGAGCATCTATGTACTCTACCAGCCCCTCTATGCTTGATCTCCCTGGATCCTCACAACTTTCCTATGAGGTAGGTACTTTTATTATCTCTGCCTAATGGAAGCTCAGAGAGATTAAGTAATAAGCCCAGAGTCATCCAGCCAGCAGGAATCAGAGCCAGAATTCAAACCCAGGTGGTATAAGTCTAGATCAGTTGGGTTTGAGACAAGTAAGCAGCAGTGCTAGAGAGAAAACACCTAAGTATAAATGGGGGTAAATACTGCCAAGATTTAGCAGTGCTAAAAATAATAGCTTGGAATTATAAGTACAGGAATTCTCAAAATCCTATCTTTATCTCTTTTTCATTTGAGAAAATATCCCATGCTTTCCACTCTGAAAGGCATGTGGGTGTGGGATCCTTTTCTGAAGCAAGACGCTTGGGTCTAATTTTCTTGGAGGATCTGTTCCCCTCTAGTGGGCTCCGAGGATCCTTCCAGGAGGGAACACCCCCTCACACACACGCACGCCACCCATCTGTGTTTTCACAGTCGGCACTAAAGGATCTGGTTCCTGGATGCAACTGCTGGGATTCTCAAAGTTTAGGGGGCATGAGAATCCCCGGGGCACTTGTTTAAAATGCTGATTCCAAGGCTCTATCTCCAAATATTCTGATTCTGTTGGTCTGACATGGGGCTTGTCTAATAAACACCCCTTTCCCATTATACTCCGGGGAATACACCAAGCCACGGCAAGTCTTTTGAGTTTTTCAAGGTGGTCCCTGGGGCCAGAAGGATTCCAAGATGTAGTGAATTTGTCTTTCCCAGCCTAACGCACCACTGCCCCCCACCCCATCCCCATCATCACCTCATGCAGCAACTGGGGGAGGCATACAGGTGTGGAGGATGAGTATAAGTTGGTGGAGAGCAACTTTCCCGACCCTCTTTACCCAAAGCCCCTGTTGAGGGGTTCAGGGTGAGACCTACCTCGTTGACTTTCTCAGGGGTGCCCTTGGGGGAGGGGGAGGCAGGAGAGGAGGGCAGCCTGCGCTCCCGCTCCCAGTCTCGGTCCCGGTGGATCAGTTTGCTGTTGGGTTCCTTCAGGGTCCTCTTGAGCTCGTTGATGCTGGCCTGGTGCTTGAGCAAGACATCCTCTGGCTTGTCTAAGAACTAGGGGTGGATGGAGAGGGCAGCGGGTGTTAGAGGAACGGCTCTGAGCAGGGGATGGTAACCGTGGCCACTGCTGCCCTACATCAGCAAGGTGATTCCCATCCATGACTCCATCTCACCCTCACAGCACCCCATGAGCCAAGGGCGCAGAGATGATTAGCCCCAACAGGTACACGAAGCACTTAAGATTAAACAGAGGAGCAAAAAACACTTAAGATTAAGAAGAGGAGGCTTCTGGTCAAGCACCACCTTTTCTTTCCCCCTGCCTGGCTTCCGGCCTCAGAACACCCAAGGCAACCCAGATCCCCGAAGACTAGGTGAGTTCCCACTGGTGCCGTGCGCCCAGTCTCACCTGGGCATGGAGGTGACTTCCTTCTGGTTACAACCGAGGCACAGTGAGAACTGGCCAACCCTGTTCACTGGGCTGCTCTGGCCCACTCCCTGGCCTCCAGGGCCCTGGTCCCTTCCTCTGGCCAAGACTTGGACCGCTGCACTTAGCAGGATCCCCAGCCTAGACCCCTCTCAGCCTGACAGGTGAGCTGCTCAGATACTAAAGCCAGGGACACCCAGAAAAATGAGCCCTGCTCCCACACAGGAGCCACGAAAAGACAGTGTTCTGCATCCTCTACTGTGAGCCACTACCCTTCCTAATCACCCAGGGTCTTGCAGTTACCTTGCAGATACCAACTCCTCAAGAGCAAACAGAGGGAGATATGGCCAGACAGAGAAAAGACGGTGCTGCGGGGCATTCAGGAGGGCAGGAGAAACGGAGACTGGGAAGAAGAGAGCTAAGTCCCAGGGCTGGGCACAAGACCTGAGCTGGGGAGAGCTGCAGTCAGGGGCGTGTCTGCCATTAAACCGCCAAGTCTGAGCTTGAGCCAGTGCAGCATGAGAGAGTAATCTGCCTCTAGGTCTTACGGGTAGGGTAGGGCGGGTGGGCTGTTAGTTCAAGCACCTTTATCTGCAAGGCTGTTTGAGGATTCTTGTCAACTCAGTTCAGGACAAGAAGTGGACCATCTCCACTTATTATAAAGTCAAATCGGCAGATTCTGGAAGATCTACCTGGAAGGCAAGCTTGCTCTTGGACAAGGCTGAGATCTTCCCCTGGGCTTACCTGTTACCGCCATGACTGACGTGTGCGTTACCTCGGGGAGGAGATTGATGCCACTGAGGCTTCTGCTTTCCCTCCAGACATCTGTCTGTACTTCCTATATCCCCTCCTGAGCTGGACGGCCTTAGAACAATGTCTGAGAAGTCAAACTGACAGAGTTTGCACAAGGGGGTGGGTATGAGCTGCAATGGACCCAAGATGTGGCTTGTGACCTTCTAGCCTGATCCTGCCACGCTGCCCCTGTGTGCACACGGCGTTCCCGGAGGCGAGAGGGAGCAGTGGAACCCTGGGATCCTTGATTAGGGTTAAGGGCTTTGGGGAAACCTAGTCCAAATGTCTTGCTGTGCAGTTGGGGGACTGGGGCCCAAGGGGGCTTACCCATGACCCTCAAAGAGTCAGGCTGAAACCCAGCTCACGTGATGGGCCAAGGCCAAGCCCTTAGGCCCCAGCCCCTGGTCCTTTCCCTCAGGCCCAACAACAGACCCGCGAGGCAGTGAAGGTTCAGAGGAAGAGTTGGGGACTGTGTGAAAGGGAAGAAATCGTTAAGGCAGAGAAATTAAGTTGAGAGAAGCCAGCAGGGAGAGGAGGAAGGAGAGGGAGGAGAAAAGGAGAAGAGGCTCTCCTTGCAGAGCTTGAGCAGCAGGCCCCGAGGGACAGCAGCGTGCTGGAAGAGGCAGAAGCATTCCGAGGTTCCTCCCTGCCCCCCACGCCAACTCCCACATCGGTTGCCCGTAGATACAAAAAGAAGCTTGGGGTGAGGGCAGAGAGGACACAGATGAGGTGGAGGCATGACCAAACGGTGGTGCGGGGAGGAGATGAGTCTAAGGAAGGGTTTAGGTGGGGGCAGGGGAGATAAGACCAATAAAAGCATGGAATGGCCTGGAAGAGCTGATGGACACAGGTGGGATGGTCAGCAGTTGGGAAGCAAGCATGGGGTGGTGGGAAGAGGCAGAATGGGAAG